TCAATATACTAAATACTATTTAGGTACAGTATAAAGAATGTGACTGCTGAAGATAAAAATTCAGATTATTAGCTTTAAAAAGGGACCAAGCTTGTGAATTTACTCTAAAGGGTTCAAAAGCAGTACTTCATTTAATTTGTGTCTACTTTTTAAGACGTTTTATGGTATTTTATGCCTGAAGATTAACTAAAAATAAGCTTGTATTGTTTCAAGGGCATTGTTCCGTGTTTCTTAATAAAATAAGATTGGAACATTGAAGATGTATTGTGACTTTAGAACACCTGAAAAGAAAAAAGAAAAAAAAATCGGTATCGGACAAAATCCGAATCAGCAGTTCAGACTTTTAAAAGATCGGTGATCGGCTAGAAAGCTGTAATTGGTGAACCCCTACTTTAATGTAACAGTTACCAAGTCTACCTGTATGAKGGGCAGCCCCAGGTTTTCAGCGACGTCACCGGGGTCCACCAGTCTGTAAAACTCATCCTCCAGCTCCTGGAGCTTCTGCTTCCTCTGGGTCGCCTTCTCCCTCTCCAGCTGGTCCCGCTCGGCTCGCTCTGAGGCCGACACCGAGTGTGACACGGGTCTCTGCTCCGAGTCTTTGCTGGCGTTCAGTTCGGTGGCTCCGTGAGCTCCGTTGGCGGCGGCGGCGGCGGTGACGGCGTGGCTGCCGTTGCTCACTGCGTTGTTGATGTTGGCGCCGCTGCTGGAGGCAGAGCTGTGCTCCAGGCAGAAGGACTTGAAACGCACCTCGTCGTTTTCGGCCAGGAGGGTCTTCATCTCCAGGCCGTGGTCGAAGGCGCATGTCACATGGAAGGCCACGATACAGGAGGGCATGGAGCACTGAGAGGAGAACACAAAATACAAACATCAGAGGAATGAACACAGACGTTTTGTCACAACCGCCTGTGTTGATGTGTCATTTTCTGTCCATTTACTCTGTCATCCAGGATCCAGAAGTGCAACAAAGCAGAAAGACGAGAAGAATCACAACAAACATGGATCTTCCATCACTGCTGACATCCTGCTAACCTGGGATGTGTTTCAGTGCGTGTGTGTGTGTGTTTCTCTGCACTATCCATTACAGGTCATAGGAAAAGGCGACCTCCCACTTAGTTTCCTCAGGCACGGTGTGATCCTGCCTGTGTGAGGCTGTGAGCTGTTGTTGTGGCGTGCACGTTTGAAAGCGTGGGGCGCAGGTCGGCGCTTGTACATGTCAGAGGAGTTCAGCGTTCAGCAGGAGGGGTTTGCTCTGTGTTTGTTTATAAGAGGAGTGACAAAAACCTGCCTGTTCCTACAGATGCTACCAACTGGGAAAAAATAAAAAAACATTTGCAGAAATCCTCTTCTCTTTCATCTGCTTTCTGATTCAACATATAAAACTTTATAGACTTTAGAGCATGTGTTACGCTCAGCCAGCTCTCATCCTCATTCTGCTTTAAATGCTTTGAAAAAGTACGCTTTTTGTAGTTTTTTTTTAAAAGATGGGATTAAATTTCAAGAATCTGATTCATTTTGCAATAAAATTTTGTGGCTCCAGCAAAAAATAAAAATGTTTCTATTAGTTTTAGTCCACATTACAGTTTTCTTTTTGCTCGTTAGTTTGTGTACTTGTGAAACAAATCATTAAATTTTATGGTCATAGACTRTCTGCATTCGTCACATCTCACCTGTAGGTCCCAAGCAGCCGAAACATAAATATGTGCTGACAAAAAACAAAAAAACTAAATTATTATTTACATGTTTTATATCTGAGCAGTAACACTTCCTACTTCTTGTAACTCAGTCAGCTTGTCACATTTGTGACCCATCACATCGAAAAGAGGATTGAGTCCAGAAGTGGTATATGGAGAAAAAGGCAAATATAGTGTTGTGAC